CGAAGACCTTGTCAGCCATGGTTGGCTCACCCTGGAATCCCAGCCAGGACAGGATATTGTTGGGGGTGGAGAGTTGGAAATCGATACGGATCCTGAAGAGTCTCTCCTGATCATCTAACATCAACCTCTGCCTGATGTTAGAGTGAAGCGTCACCAAGATTGTCAATTCCTTGTAGACTTGCCTGAGGTGGGTCTCAGATTCTGCTGTGACCAGAGCACTCTGCTATCAGATGCGCTGGTGGTCCTTGGTGGCATGCGTAGGCTTTGGTGAATTTCCTCAGGCAGAAACTCAGCTGCTTCCAAATTAATGTAACCATATCCTATGTTTGCAGAGTCTAAGACCTGGACTCAGGAGACTGGTCTTATTTACTAAGTGATCTTAGGTGACGATTTGAGCTCTAGAATGAGTAGAAGCAAGATACCATTTTTTTTTTTTTTTTTTTTTTTTGCAAAGCCAATTCCAAATGAACCATCTTCCTCTAAGCCAGAATCACCTCTCTTTTGAAGGCTGAGGAAGGTACAAGAAAAATCCTGGGAACTGAAGATCAGGTAGAAGTGAGAAACTGAACCAACTTCCCACCTCACCCAACACAGGACCTCAAAACTAGATTCCTCCACCTGGGTGGTGACCTTGAGATTTTTTCCAACTCGACTTCTAGCCTGGAGTGGACAGACTTCTTCCCTCCCTCGGAGTATTTTCTGAGTACCTACTAGATGCAAACCTCTGTGCTCTGCAGAGTCAATCCGAGACGCCTAAGACACAGGGTTGACCTTGAAGGTGATACAGATGATTAATAACTGTGATGCAATGGGAAGAACTTCTCACTCTTGCCTTAGACCTGCTCTTCTAGGGCGGGGTCTGGCTAGACCAGATCTCAAGGGCAGAAGAACAGATCAAGCTGCTCCGGGGACTGCCTGCCACCCACCCACCCACCAGCAGTATTCTTCTCAGGAAGACAGGTACTTGAACTCTCTCCCCTCCGCTCTGTGCATCTTGTTCATATTCGTTCGCGTATCATGGTGGAATGCTCACCAACGTCATAAACATTCATCATCGAGTATCTATCATACTTGAAGATGGGGTGGGGAAGCTTCCAGTTCCGGGTAGCCAGAAGCTGATGAAAGCCACTTTGACTTAGTGCTTGGACCCTGGGGATCTTCCTGTGTGGCTTTGGCCAGGACAAACAAACCCTTCACATTCCACTTTCTTCATCTCTTAAATGTGGGGGCAGGATCACAGAGAGGGCCTTACGGTTTCACGAGTGGAGATGGTTGATAGTAACATGCTTGCCTTGCTATAACATTCCCATGGGAGTTTTATTCTGCTTTTGGGTAACTGAATTTCTGAGCGTGTTGTGGAAAGATGGAGAAGGAAGCCATGACTGGGTGCAGATTGTATCGGTAGAAACCGGGTGTACAGGGGCAATGATGTATTCCCAGAAGAAGTGGGATGGGAGAGAGATGAAGAGGGAGTTAGAAATGGAGCCTGAAGCCGGCGGTGGTGGCGCACGCTTTTAATCCCAGCACTTGGGGCACTTGGGAGGCAGAGCCAGGTGGATCTCTGTGAGTTCAAGGCCAGCCTGGTCTACAGAGCGAGATCCAGGACAGGCACCAAAACTACACGGAGAAACCCTGTCTCGAAAAATCAAAAAAAAAAAAAAAAAAAAAGAAAAGAAAAAAGAAGAAAAGAAAGAAAGAAATGGAGACTGTTGGAGGACTGCTGTCCACAGGGGTCAGAAATAAAGACTTTCATTGGTGACACTGAATACCCCAAGGCAGAGGACGGGACAGCTGCCACCTACCTATTCAAACCACCAAAATGGTGACTAGCCATGGCTGCTCAAGTTGGGTCACCTCAGAACTTGCAGAAGGGTATGGTGGCAGGAACCTTTGGGCTATGAACAGAGGAGAGCCGACAGGAACAGGAAAGGCCCTGCCTCACAGTCAAACCAGATCCAGATGTGGCCGCCTACACAAGAGCCAGGAGCAGCGAGCACAGCGTGCCCCGGCCCCCACCTGCCTTCAACGGGGAGGAGTTTCCCAAGCATCCGATAGCCCCCCCCCCCGCCCCCCCCCACCCCCACCCCACCCCCCGGCTCCTGCCGTCCACGCCCATCCTTCCAGCTCTGTCACGCAATCCCTGTCAGCAGTCGCTGGGTCTACTGATGCAAGCCACACCGAGGGGAAAGGCCTGCCGATTAAATTCCCAAATCCTGTTAGGAAACAGGGCAACTCACTCCTAATCGAATTTTTATGTTTCTGGTGATCTTTGAACTCTCCAGTGTGGTGCCAAGGGTGGATAGATTCTTCCCAACAGTTCGTTCTCCTTCGACAGCAGAACCCCCAAACACAGCTGTGTCCCCTGGGAAGGAAATGTGCCCCTAACAGAGGCTTTCTAATTTGTTCAGAGCCACTGGGCTTCTGGGGTGGGAGTGCGGGGAGAGGGTTTTGTTTTGTTTTTTAAGGAGACCTATGTGTGGGGATGGGTGGGTGGGGGTAGGTGTTCTCTGAAACCATCCCAGTTGAGAGTGTCTGTCATGCTATCGTTTATTTTATAACATCCCACTCCTCTCTCACGCTCCCTCAACACACACAGCACAGCACAGACACCAACATGGGATGTTTGCACTGGAGGAAGATGATAAACTCTGCTCCCGGGACTCGGCGGCCACGTCTCAGACAAGTTCTCCTGCCTCCAGAAGTCACTCGAGTTTCACTCAGTCAGGCCTGCACGGTTGGACTTGGAGCGTGTGACTCAGGCTGCAAAAGAATGCACGCGTCTTGCCGCATTTTGAACACCACTGGGCTGCCTACGAGCAGGAGAAACAGGCGCCTCACCTTGCAAGAAGGAATAAGTCAACTGGATGACTGAACCAGACTTCAGACCTCTCTGGGGTGTCTTTTTCACCCCGTGGTCTGAGTTGGCTTGTGTCTCACCAATCTAACACCCCCCCCACACACCGGGAACCAGAAATAAACGAAGTTTTATTGTTTTCATCCGAGACATTTCTTCTGTCTCTAATGATATCATCCCTGGAAGACTGAGATGCGGCGAGAGGTGAATCATGTATCACTTCGCATCTCTTCTAGAATTACATCAGCCGAGAGCCCTGAGGAGCCGTGGCCAAAGCCAAAAAGCCAAGAAGAGAAAGAGTAAGGCAAGAGCAAGGCTTCGGAGGAAGGGAGCTGGTTCTTTTTCCCTCTGCATTTTTTTTTCATACTCCTCAGACCACCCCCTCCCTGCTACTCACAAATCAAGTAAGAAGGGGAAAAAAATCAAACTTTAAAGAGATAATTGCCTTGTACTTATTGGTGGCATTGGCTTAAATGTCTTTGTCGTATCTACATTCATCACTGATGAGAGCCGAACTTGGCAGGTTGTCTGGCTAACAGTGAAAGCCCCCGCTCCCTAAGCAGCAGCCGAATCACCTCCACTGTCTTACACCTTCAGCGGTTTTGTTAGGCAGAGGAAGTTGGCAATGTGAAAATAATTAGAAATGTGAACTCTGTTGGACAGAAGAACAATGACCCACGCAGCTACCTGCTGGGGGTGTTGACATGGAAGGCCACAGCTGGGTGGGATGTGTCTTTCCTGACCTCTACCTGGACATGTAAAAATGTCCTCCGATGATACACATCTGAGGTATACTGAGAGAGAGATGAGGACTCTACCAAATCAGAACAGAAGACTAAAAGGTGCAGTCTGTGGCCTTAAGAAACACTGAGTATTTAAAAAATATTCCCCACCCCCACCTCTTGGCTCTGCTTTTCCAAAGCTAGCCTTATTGCTGAACCACTCCCATTAATTAGAAAGAAATTTCCCCCTCCCTTCCTCTCTGATTCCAGTGCATTCCAGTCTCCTTGGGCTCCTTGGGCCGAGCTGTTCAGAGCATATTTATGAAGAAAACAAAGCAAAGTGGCCTCAGGACACCGGGGAAGGCCAGAGTGAGATCCAATTCGGCAACACAGGAAAAGAGGCCCAGAAGGGCAAAGGGAAGAAGGATTGGCAGAAGGGAGCTTGGACAGCATTGTATTACCACTTCCAGCTGATTGGGTGTAGCCCGGCTAGAGACATGTGGTTGGAGTTCACAACAGAAACAAATACAGCAAGCCTGAGCATCCCGCAGTACACACACCCACACCAAGCCAACAGCGAGCTCCTCTGCCCTGTTCCCTGATGGGTTCCCACTGGGCCAAGCTGGGCTGTAAGGGAAGGAAACAGGCTGTTGGAGCGGTCTCCTCCAACTCCACCTGCACCATGACTCACTCCTGGGCATCTGGAACCTACAACTTTTCTATTTGCTTCCCTGCCCCGCTCCACCACCACCCCCCAGAGAAAAACAAAGCAAGCCCCACTCCACCGAATCCCCTCTAGGGTGCCAGTCGGTCTCCAAAGCACTGTGGCAATCTGCAGAGGAAAAAGATTATATATTATGCTTGTACTTCATCATTAGGCCGACCCACAGGAGGCGGTTAAAAAAAAAAAAAAGCACGTGGCGAGTCACTCAGAAAACAACCATACCCATCTAAAGAGCGTAGGCATTTGAGTTTACTCTGATCTCTCCAAAAATTAACCTGAAGAAAAAAAAATCCATACGCCATCATAGTGGCTCACATTTTTGATCCCAACACTTGGGAAGCAGAGGCAAGTAGATCTCTGAGTTCAAAGTCAGCTTGGTCTGTGTTATGGACTTCCGCGCCAGTTAGAGTTGCAGAGTGAGTCCCTGTCTCTAAAACAACAAACAAACAACCCCCCCACACACACACACAATGATAACATGAAAGATGCAGAAGGGTGGCCCCAGACATAACACCCTGTCTGATCCAAAAAATGGTTTCACCTTCCCCCTCTCCAAGTCCCATCAGAACCACTAAGGGTGGAGGCCCCCCCTACCACCTCACCGCCAATCATCTTCGGCAGCATTTCCAGGGGGGCTGTTCTGACAGCTTTTCCTCTTTATTCTTACCCCACGGACATACAAACAGAACCAAAACAATGCTGCTCAAAAAATAACAATGTTTTATACACATTTCCGTATGTACAACTGAACAACATTTTACAGCTGTCTTTTGCACAGCAAAAGATATATAAACATTCGGCTCTGAGAACACAGTTATGTACAAAAAAAAGTCAAAAATACTTCACAAAGGTGCAAAAATGTTTTACACAGCATCATGGAGTACGCTCTTTGGGACAGGAGGAAGGTGTGTATTTCTAAATGAAAATTCCTTTTTTTTTTTTTTTTTTAGATATTAGATGTCTTTAACTGTAAACAAAACACAACTTTCATACCCTGCCCCCACCCCTACCCCCAGTACAGTTATTTGAGAAATTTGGCATACTTTCAAGAGTTTTTGAGTCTGAGGTAAACAGCCCAAGCTCTCAAATCCAAAAGAACTAGGGGCAGGTAGGCTAGTGCCATTTAAGCCTCCGTTATTATGAGAGTGACTTTGTTAATGAGATATTGATGACAGAGAGAGGCCTCCCAGTCAGGGGGTCTGGAGAGGAAGTTACCCCTCCTTCCCAAGCCCCAGCTGCCTCACAAACAGGAAACTGGCTGCTGGGCACCTCTAACCCGCCCTTGGCCTTTTCCAACCTTAGCCAGCTTTCCCTCTTCCGCACCCTCACCCACCCCAGAGAGTCCGTCTATCTTTCGTTCTTAGTGCGTCTCTCTCCTTCCACAACTCCCTACTCACAACCTGAACCACCTCGGAGTCAAAAGTGCCTGGGGCACACAATGGGAGAGAAGCAGCCCCTGGGAACTCCAAACTCAGGTCTGGACCTCAGGTGCATAATTTTCCCTGTCCTGCTTTCCTGGAGGTTAGGGGAAACAGAACTACGGCTGGGGAGTCACTGTGGGGTGCTAGGCGCACGGAGAAGTTTTCTGGGAGCTTAGCCCGAGTAGGGGTCGTCTAGGCTATTGCTGTCAGCAGGGCCCGACGGGTTGGGGTTGCCGTAGGTGGCAGGGGTGGCATCCAGGCCTCCGCCCTCGATGGAGCTCTCACTGCCCGTGCTCTCGCCCGACAGCAGCCGTGTCACCCTTAAATCGGACTCCAGGGTGCGTACATCATTGCCAAAGCTAAGGTCGCCCAGGTCACTAATAAGCTGCGACAGCTGGGCCTTCATGTCGGAGTCACAGCCTGGCAGAGGAGGTGAGGTCCCAGAGCTGGGGCCCAGCGAGACCCCGCTGTCCCCCAACGCCTCCTCGTGGCCATTCTCCAGCGGGTCCAGCAAGTCCCCACATTCCAAGTGCATAGCTACCACCAGCGCCCTCTGCGCCTCAGCCTCTTCCTCTGCTGGATCCCCATCCCCCACACGGTCCTCTTCTTCCTCGTCCTCCTCCAGGCAGCCCTCGAGATGCTCCTCTTCTTCTTCTTCCTCCTGCAGCTCCTCCTCCTCCTGCTGTTCCCCGAGCAGGTCCTCGGTGATAGAGCCTAGCTTGGGAGCGCTGCGGCTGCGCTCCACTGGCGGCTTGTAACAGCAAGGTCCGTGCAAGAGCAGCTTACGCAGCGGCACTAGCGGGATGGTGTGTGCACCCACCAGCTCCTGCTGCTGGTGACGCGCATCGTCCCGCCGCTTGAGACGTTTAAACTCTGCCAGAGCGTTGGCTGACGTCTGGTAGAGCAGCAGGGCCATAGCCTGAGCCTTCTCCGGCTTGGACACCAGCACCGCGTGGCAACGTAGCATTACCGCCTTGTGCTTCAGCTCATGCCGGTACACCCAGGCGAAGACTTTGGGCAGCCGAGCGTCTGCCACACAGTAGGTGACGCGGTGCAGCAGGTAGAGATGGCCAGGTCTCCGCAGCGCTCGCTCCTCCGCGTGCACCATGCGGATGCCTTGCGCGCTCACCGTCAGCTTCATCTTCGTGCCTTGACGGCCTGCCTCACTCTTGCTCCAGATCTTGCCCACCGCTAGGTCCGTGCAACCGTCGCCACGCGCCTGGATGGTGGTAGCATTACCCAGGTAGAGCACGGTGTAAGTGGGGTCCTCGCTAGTAATGTGCAGCTTCTTGCGTTTGGAGCGGAACATGCTGCCCACCCGGCTGAGCGCCCCTTCCGGGCAGGCCCTCGCCAAGGAGCTGAGCGCGGAGTAGTGCAGGCTCACAGCGTAGCCCTTAGGCTTGGACGCCTGCCGCGGCGGCGCCTCGGCCAGCAGCTCGAACTTGTGCTTCTTCCACGGCAGCATCTCCGGAGGACGCCCGGGAGCGGCTGGGCGGCGGCGGCCGAGCGCGGGGTGCGAGCCCCGCAGGGCCACCAGCCCTGGTTGTGCTTGGCCCGGGCAAGCCCGGAAAATAAAACTCCAGCTGGGAACACAGTCGGGACAGGGAGATGGAGGAAGGAGGAGAAGCCAGATAGTGCTTGAGAACCCCGCAGCGGGTGGGGTAGAATCTTAGAAAGAAAAAAAAAAATTCAGCTTCGAGTGTGCAAGAGAGGCATACACACGAGAGAGAGAGAGAGAGAGAGAGAGAGAGAGAGAGAGAGAGAGAGAGAGAGAGAGAGAGAGAGAGAGAGAGAGAGAGAGAGAATATTACAGAAGCCTGGATGAGAAGGACCAGGACAGAAGTCTCAGACAAGCAACAAAATGAGAGAGAGCGGAGCGCAAATTATTTTAGGGGAAAAAAAAACATATGAGTGCGTGCAAATAAATAGAAGGGGGGACTCAGCCAAAGCACCCGGGGGTGGTGAGAAAATAAGCAGGAACTCTTCTTCAGCGAACGTGACACACACACACACACACACACACACACACACACACACACACACACACACACAAGTCTTGGGCCAGGGCCAGGAGCCGCGGAAACTACAGCAGTGCGCCCAGGAGCCGGTGCTCCCCACCCTCAAGTGGGTGCCGGAGAGGGCGAGCCCCTCGGCTGGGCTGGTCCCGGAATGAGCAGCTTGCCCCAAGTGCGGTCCGAGCGGTCCGGCTGGCCGCGGCGGGCCAGGCACAGCAGTCCCGCGGCTCACTGCATCCTCGCTCCGAGGGGACGCCGGGGACTCGCGCTCGGCCGGCTTGGCCAGGGTAGCGCGGGGCTCCGAGGGCAGGACGCGCGCATCGTCAGCTCCGGGGACTGCCGCTACCTCATCGCTTCCCTCCGGGGGTGTCCGACTCCGCTTCGGGGTTCTCGGCGGTCTGCAGCGCGCCCTCTGTAGTCGTAGGCGCGGTGGCCGGTTCGCCCGCCTCACATCATTGCCGTCCGAGAGGAAGATCTCGGGTTAATATAGGCCGGCACGAACCATTCGCCGCGCGGACAGGGGAGGAGCACAGAAGAGGATCCACAGGGCTGCGCTTTTCTGGCCTCTTAAAGGGACCTGGTTGCAAGCACTGGTCGACGACAAGGGACGGCTGGTCCAATGAGGCAATGTCGTCCCAATTTTACCAGCATCTCCTTTATCTGTAGAAACCACAAAGGCCTGGAGTTACCCGGTAGCAAAAGGAACTTAAACTTTGACACTCCACCCTAGGCTAAATTGCAACTCACTGAATAAATGTATGTCTAGATCGAAACTTCTGGAGGAGGTGGTGGAAGATGAGATTGTAGACTCTAATTTCCTGTACAAAAAAAGGTTGGGGAATTTTACTTTCCTTGTGTGACCACTTCAAGAGGATTTGCAAGCTCTGTTCGCTATTATTCTTTAATAATCATCTATCAGAGAAAACACAAGAGAGTCAAAGCCTTAGTTGTTATTGTCTTGGTGACATTTGTCCACAGGTGAACTGCAGGTAGGGAAGAGGGGTGGGAAGATGACTGGAGTGAACAATATTAACACAATAGTGAATGGTCAATAAGATACGGGCTCCCAGTTCCCACCAGTAATACCCTCTCTTGCCACACCCTCGGAGTGAGGCACTCTTTTGAGATATATGAAATTTCTAGGTAAGGCTGTGTTGCTGTTTGTAGACCTATCAGTTTCATTAAATCACTGATGCACTTTGGATGAGACTTCTTAGTAAAAATTCAAATGACATTTTTCATGCTTTTTTTTTCCACATGCTAACTGAACAATGTGGGGTTTGTTTTCCCTTCCTTCTACTTTTTTTTTTTTTTTTTTTTTTTTTTTTTTTTTTTTTTTTTGGTCCTTTGAGACAGGATCTTGCTATCTAGATCAGGTTCGCCTCCAACTCCTGAATTACAAGCATGGATCATCATGCCTGGCTCTGGACAAGATACTTTTAGTCACTCATCAGCTTGCTCCTCTGCTAGTAAGTTATTTCTGAGCCCTTGAAACAACCTCCTTGGCACTAGGGACCATTCAGTCCAAGCAAAATGACTTCTGTTTGATGAATGAGACATTCGAGTAAACAGAAATAATTTTTGCTGGGCTAAATTCAGCCAGAAAAACCCAAAGTCCCCTGAGAAGTCCCCTTTTTTTTCTGGGAGAAAAAAAGATTTCACTGTGACTAAGAAAACCAGAAAGATTCATGGAGGAGGTGATGTTTGAAAGATGATTTCACCAAACAGGAGGAGAATTGGAGGGCTTTCTGAGAGTAGAGGATGACCAAATTACAGAATGAAAATGCAGGAACTTGTATAACATACGACAGAGTCAATGAATGTTTCCCTATCAAAGAATTTTCCTGATGACGGATTAAAAACCCTTCTATTCCCTGGGACAGTGGTTCTCAACCTTTCTATCACTGCGACCCATTAATACAGTTCCTCATGTTGTGGTGACCCCCAGCCATGAAATTATTTTTGTTGCTACTTCATAGCTATAATTATGATTCTGTTATTAATTGTAATGTAAATATCTGGTATGCAGGATGGTAACCCCATGAAAAGGTCGTTCGACAACCCCCAAGGGGTTGTGACCCACAGGTTGAGAAATGTTGCTCTGGAGAAAAGCATGGCCTTATTTTATGGCTGGCTGGGCCTGTGAAGCCTCTTAACTAGGGTCCTAATGCCTTACTTGCTGGCTGTGTCGATGGGTTATTGGGGGGATTCCGGACACCTCTATGATATGAACTACAATTATAATAAACCATCAAGCCATCACTGATTTTTCTTTCCTGCTGAAATGGCTGGAATATCGTGCAGTGCCAATCATGATAACTTAAAATCCAAAGGACAAACAAATTCTAGAGGAAGCATACCAACTTAGCCTCTGCTGAGTGGCCTTTCCCTGGTCTATAATCCCCAAGTCTGAATTCTAAAGTAGACCCCATATTCAAGCAGTTAACATGTCATTGTGGCTGGGACACCTAAGGGCCAGAAGGGCTTGGGGGAGGAGGAAGGGAACCAAGACTGGTCTCACAGCCCTGGAGGCACAGCCATGAGCTACACATGGTGGACTGATGGAGAAACCAGAGAGAGACAGTAATAAGGAGGCATCCACTGGCCACCACAGCTCTCGGTGGCAACCAGGGTGCCAGTGTCGGATTACAGGCTGCCTCATGCCTAACTACCTATTTAATAAGCTTCTTTCGATCTTGGAAGAACAGAAAGATTGTAGGTGAATGAGAACACCCTATGAGTGAGTCATGTTCCGGGCTTGTGCTCTAAGACCCAGGAGGGAAACCTGGCTATCTCCTCCAGGTCTGGACCTGAGCCAGCCTCTGGGGTCTGCCTACCTTGCCTTCTGGAGACCCTGGTCACCCTTGCTACAAGCACCCATCACACCCGGGCTACACCTCCTCCGTGGGAGGTGGGCAGGAGGAATAGGAGCCTGGGAAGCGTAAGATAACATTGTAACATCTGAGATTCAGGGCGGCCCTAGGATAGAACGTCTCACAGAGACCATTGAGAAACTGCTTAGACACCATGGCTGCACTTTTAATGACACTACTCCACCTACTGGGGGAAGACGGAAGTGTCCCTTGGTAAGGTTGTTGCTCATAAAACTAGGCAAGCCGGTGATAGACTCAATAGAGCCAAGGCACAGCTGAAAGGAAGCGCGGCCCGCAGGAGTGCCAGGCTTTCGCTTGGCATCTGAGAACCAACCTTTTATCGCCTGGAGGGCTTTTGGACTGGCTGTCACCTTGTGTTTTGCTTAATGCTCCTCCATCTCTACCCTCCTCCCCTGATGGATGTCTCACTAAATGGACATTGACTTCAAGGGTGAATCTGGAATCTTCAAGTCCTTTGAAAAGTATCTGTTGAGAGTCTGCTGTAGTGATGACGTTGCTAGGGATAAAGCGGTAGAGACATCTGGGGGTGTTTGTTCTCCTGGGAGTGATAGCCCGTGGAGAGGCAGAGAATCAACATCCAGGAATAAAATGCCAGCTAGCGATCCATCGCTGGTGAAGAGGTGGCAGTACTAGAGGTGAACGTGGCTGCTTTCAAAGCAGGAACACTGAAAACCTGAGGGGGCCGGGCACTCAAAAGAGAGAAGATGAACACTGGCCTGCACCAGAAGGTAAAGTTGGCGTGTGTGGCCTTTGAGCACCCAGAGGTAGTTGGCTCAAGTTGAAGTAAGCCACGAGTGTGCTTTTGATGACTTTAGTAAGACAAAATGTTGCACTAATTTTATGTGAATTTTATGCTGAATAACACTATTTAGGCTACAGTGAGTTAGATCGACTACGTTGCCTTGAAATTAGTTCTGCCTGTTCCCCTTCCTTCCGTAGTGGAGCTGTGGGATTACACACACAGGTAATGTTGTCCTAAGCAAAAAGCCAGCTAACATGGAGGGCCTGTAGGTTTTGTCATAGACTGGCTCAAGGACTTTCAAACTTCTTCATCCCACTCTGTGATCCTAACCTCTTCCTCCAGCCCTTTGTCCTTGACTCCTGTCACGTCGGTTCTCAGCCCCCTCAGGGTCAGCCGCCACCTACACTAGTGTTAATGAGGGGCCACTGAGTCATCGGAGATGCTGCCTTTAGAAGAGGTTACAGCAGTTTGTGTGGGACCCCAGTTAGTTTCCATCCGAGAGTATTACTACGAAAGAGAAAGGCTGGCCCTCAGATCTTTTTCCAGCTTCGTGTCTCTCCACATGATTTCTGCCATGTGTAGACTCTCACATTCGCCATCTGCCATGATGTGATGCAGCCAAGGGACTTCTCGGCAGACCGGGTACCATGTTGTTTAGATTTTAGGCCTCCTAAACTGTGGGCTCCGTAAATCATTTTCTTTGTAAGTAGCTAGCTTTGTTCTTTGTTTTAGCAATGGGAAACAGATTCGTACAGCCAGTCTTCTTGGGAGAGGTCCTCCACATCCAGCGGTCTCTCTAGAGTAGCTGACCAGAGTGATACGATGTTTCCCCAAGAGAAGTGAGGCTGTTAGAGAGACCTCGACTCCTGTCCCAACCCAACTAACTACAAACAGCACATCCATGCACTTGCCCAACCTCTTTCCTCACGGCTCAGAAGTCTCTCCTCTTTTGAGCCTGTCTCCCTCGGAGCTACTTTCTATAGTTACCACACCTGGCCTTGTACCTCTTCCTAGATTTAACCCTGAACTGGTTTCCCACCAACTCCAGGCACAGCCCCACGGTACCACTCAATCAACAAGCATTCTGGTGGCAGGCCCCTACCTAGCTGCCTAGCCTCCTCCACCTTTCCTGGCATCATAATCTATGCTGAGCAATGATGGATGACCTGGCCTTCCCCTTGGGCTCCTAAGACTGCTTCTTCTGTTCCTTCCATTGCTTAGATGGTGCCATCTAATTGAAATGGCTTCTGTCACTTCCCCTGGCTGGTTCCTAGTTTGTCTGTCCTCCTCCACCAGCACCCTCCTCCTCCCCTTCCTCCTCTCCCTTTCTCCCTCCTCCTCCTCTTCTGTGTTGGGAGCTAACCCAAGGGCCATGCTAGGCAGAAGAATCTCAATTTCAGGCCCCCTCCCTTCTGCTACCTATAAAGTCAAGGCTTTTAAACAAACGTGTATATAGAACCCATACACTACACTCTATGAAAGTCTATGTTTTGGGGTTCTCTGGTACATTTTACCAGTTAGGCTCAGGCAGCCTGCACAAGCCAAACACAATTCTCTGCATTCACTGGCCCTATGGCACACACCTTTAATCCTAGCACTCCGGAAGCTGAGCCAGGTGGATCTCTGTGAGTTCGAAGCCAACTTGGTCTACAAATCAAGTTCCAAGGCAGTCAGAGCTACACAGAGAAACCTTGCCTCAAAAAAAAAAAAAAAGAAAAAGAAAAAGAAAGAAAGAAAGAAAGGAAAGAAAGAGAAAGAAAGAAAGAAAGAAAGAAAGAAAGAAAGAAAGAAAGAAAGAAAGAAAGAAAGAAAGGAAGAAAGAGAGAGAAAAGATTACACTTAGGCCTGGTGGGTTGGCACATACCTTTAATCCTAGCACGCAGGAGGCAGAGGTTGCAGAATCTGTGAGTTCAAGACCAGCCTGGTCTACATAGAGAGTTCCTTTTAGGACAGTCAGAGGTACATAGTGAGACCCTGTCTCAAAAAACAAAACAAAGGAAAGAAAGATTATACTTAGGTACATGAAAGTATGGTAGCCATGGAATCCCTTTGTTCTAGTTACTAACTTTGACCTCTTCAGTATTTTTAACTTCAAAAACAATACCTGCACAGTTCCATGTCTCAGGAAATAGTATAAAGTAAAAATGAGGCTAAATATAACGATTTTCAAACTGAGAATGAAGAAGGCTACTAAGCAAGCCTGTGTTTTACTTGTCTTTTGTTTTATAACTTCTCTCTTACATGTGGGCTTGACACACCTTTAGCTAGGCTGTGCCAAGAACTAACAATATAAAGATTCATTACAATATAAAGATTAATTCTGGCCGGGCGGTGGTGGCGCACGCCTTTAATCCCAGCACTCGGGAGGCAGAGCCAGGCGGATCTCTGTGAGTTCGAGGCCAGCCTGGGCTACCAAGTGAGTACCAGGAAAGGCGCAAAGCTACACAGAGAAACCCTGTCTCGAAAAACCAAAAAAAAAAAAAGATTAATTCAGCTGGATTCTATACACTAAATACTGGGAGAGGTACATGATCATATCCTTTGGGAGTTTATAGTTCTATATTCCCTGATATGGAGAAAGCTTGAAGAGGTG